TTGGCAAGGAATCAACCAGTTGTTTGGTATAATCTGGACTAATTTTACTCCACTCTTGCTGTAAAGCGTTTCTTAAGTCAAATTTGTTGCGGATGTCATGTTTTCTGATATTTGTCTTCAAAACGGACCACAAATTTTCAATAACGTTCAAGTCTGGTGATTGTGCAGGAGTTTGGACAATGTGTGGACATTACCATATCAACCACGTTTGTACTAATGCTGACTTGTGCTTAGGGTCGTTGTCTTGGTAAAAGCGAAAATCATCTGCAATCTGCAATTTCGTTGCACTTTGAATCAAATTTTCTTGAAGAAGCTTTAAGTAAATATTTTTATTCATAGATTCTTCGATGAAGACCAAATTTCCTATTCCATTTGATGACATACATGCCCAAACCATAACATTACCACCTCCGTGTTTTACGGTAGCACGTAAATTTTGTGGTTTGAGCTCAGAATTGACTTCGCGCCGTACATAAGATCTTCCATCTGATCCAAATAAGTTTATTTTGACTTCGTCTGCAAAAAGTACATTTCGCCAAAATGCTGGACTCTTATTTAAATGCTCTCGTGCAAACTGCAACCTTTTAATTCTATTTTTTGCACTTACGAAAGGTTTCTTTACAGCTATTCTTCCATTGAAATTTGATTCTCTCAATATTCTGCGGACGGTTTTCAGGATGACAAATTTTTCCAAAATCTTTTTTGGCCATGTCTGTCAACTTTGGAGCGCTAATTGTTGGATTTTTTCGAATTTGGTTTACCAAATAACTCGATTCTTTTCTGTAAAAATTTTATTGGGAGCCTTTCGTTCCTTATTTTCTATGCGATTTTCATGTACGAAGCGTTCAATTATGTGTTGAACTGTTGAAGAGCTTATATTTACCATTTCACCAATTTTACGCTGGGGAATTCCCTTTTTAAAGTACTCCAACACTAACTCACGCTTTTCAATTGATGTGCGCCGTCCCATGGTTAACAAAATGCACTCACTTTAATTTTTATAATATTTTCGCTCAAAAACTAGATTACAAATGATCGCAGAATAAAAATATTTTAATTTCTGTGTAATCTGGCGACAAAAATAACGGTATTCTTAACTGCATCATTTAAGCTGTGACATGAATTTTTCATTTGGTTTGGTTTTTGATGCATTACTAAGGAATGGAAGAAGATTTTTGGGTTTTTTTTTTAAAATGAATAAACACACTATAAACAATAACTCTTTGAAATCTTAAGTTTAAATAGCCAAAGACTAAAATTGTATTCGTTTGTTCATTCTTGAGATAACGGGATAAACGTGTCCCTGCATGTAAATATAGGCCCCATAAAGTCTGCGTACAGTTTGTTTGTTTAGATAATATCATTAATTTTTAAGCAGTTTGTTCTTATTTTTGCTCATTTGATATTATTTAGCATTTGAATTGAACATTTAGCGAGATCAGTGATCAATTAATTTTTAAGTAGTTACTATTTTAAAGTATGGAATCAAGGGGAAGAGAAATCAGTGTACACGAAAGAACAATAATTATTAAACTATGGAAAGATGAAAAAAGTTTCCGAAAAATTGGTGAAACTATTGAAAGAACGCATTCATCAGTCTAGCGCATAGTGAAGAACTTCAGAAAAAAAACCGGAATTTTACCATCTAAACTGCGTCCTCTGCGTCCAAAAGTTTTATCAGTCCGAGAAAAGCGAAAAATAGTCCATATGCTAAAGATCAACCCTCGTGTTTCTTTTTCGAAAATTGTGAAATATGTAAATCAACCATTTAAAAAAGTATTTGTGCGAAGACTGCTAAAAACGTATTACCTAAAGCTGGATATCGTGGTAGAGTCGCTAGATAGAAACCGTATATTTCTCTTGTGAACAGACAAAATATGCGTTGAAGCGTTAAATTTGCGAAGGAATACACAAATAAACTTCCGGAGTTCTGGAAACAAGTAATATTTTCAGACGAAAGCAAGTTCTGCATCTTTGGTATAAAAGGTCGTCAAATTATGTGGCGGAAATCAGGAGCAACGTTAGAGAAACAAAATCTTGTTGGTACAGTCAAACACGGCGGTGGTGGAGTTATGATATGGGGGTGCATGGTGGCTGATGGTGCAGGTCAGTTAAAATTTATAGAATCGACAATGAATAAATGGGGTTATTTAAACATTTTAAAAAGAAATTGGAAACAATGTGCAGATAATTTAGGCTTATCCACGTCATTTTGGTTCCAACAGGACAATGACCCAAAACACACAGTGGGGATTGTTAAACTTTGGTTTTTGTACAGTGTTCCAAGACAGCTTAAAACGCCTCCACAATAACCTGAGCTCAACCCCATTGAGAATCTTTGGGATTTATTGGAAAAAAGAATTCGTCAGCATGTGATAACAAGTAAAGAGGCTTTGCGGAGTACAATGCAAGAAGTTGGTTAATTCCATGCCAAATAGATTAAGTGAAGTTCTAAAACAGCGTGGTTACCTAACAAAGTATTAAATATAACCTTATTTATATTATTTCTACCGATTTTATCAGTTTTTTTATAACTGTGCGCAGACTTTATGGGGCCTATTTTTACATGCAGGCACACTTTTATCCCGTTATCTCTGGAATGAATAGTCGAATACAATTTTTGTCTTTTGCTATTTAAACTTAATAATTCAAAGAATAAATATATGTAAAAATTTTAATATAAAAAATTTAATTATATTGTGTTTCTTTATCACATATCAAAATTCGTAAGGTGTACACAGAGTTTATTGGCTATGTGTATGTATGGGCTAACCGCGAACGCTGTGAGGTTACTAAAACCTTATGGCCTAGGTTAGACAAAAATAAAACGAAAAGCCATTTAGGCTTCAGTATACCTGCAGTTTGTATGCTTACTGAAGTACTAACGGGACATTGTGCCATAGCGCCTATGCTCCAACAGTGGCGAATTCCAACAAGTGGATTATGCAGGAGTTGACATGATGAAGAGGAGATAGAATTTATCAACCACTTCCTATGTCTCTGTCCAGGACTGTCCGGCAACATTTTTTGAGGGCATCACAATGGGCAATATATGCCTTCGAGTGGAAGTGCTGACAACAGTCAGCACGCACTTTCCGAACCTAACCTAATCTATTTATTTTAAGGAAAATATTAAGGGCAATTGCTCATAGAGACGTCGTTTATATTGTCTTCTTTATGATGCATATTATATTTGAGGACCTTATAGCTTTGGTTTTTTTTTATTCACAATAGTCAATATCTATTAATACTAGCTTGTGTGTTTTTATAAGGTCCATTTGATTTGTGACATACAGTCAGTCAACGAGTCGGAATGAGCGACTTCGCTCATTATTTATTTTATTTTAACAACTTTTGTTGTTAAAATGTATCTTAAATTATAGACACATAGCAAATAATATATGTTTTATTAATTTTTTTTATTCAATTTTTATCTAAAATTTTAATCCTTTGCAATAACTTAATAGCACGAAGACGATTTAATAAAATATTCATAATTAATCAACTGATCTGTCATATATCGAACACTTTTTGCCCTATATAACATTCAATATAAATTTCTAAACAAAAACAAAGTTTACAAAGATAATTAGATAATGTACAAGATTTATATGTGGTTGATATTATATTAGTAGGGCTATTCAAATGTACATCGGTAATTCAAAAATTCAGTGATCGGTATAGTAATGAAATGAGAAATATCTGAACGTTTTTAAATCTTTCTAGGTAATGTCGTAAAGTTGACATGTTTTAAATTAAAGAAAGAAAATGTCAAAACTAGTTCTCTCATTTCTTTATCGAGTATTTCTTAATAACATAACATAATAACCTAACAGTAAAATTCCCTATTTTTAGTTAACGCACATAACATATGTATATATAAATATTAATTAAATACCAAAAATTTACAAAACAAAAATTTATCGAGAATATTGTAATTTCACAAGATTGAGAAGTTGCCGAGCGCGTATGTATGCCTTATTTTACCTACCCGTAGAAAACCTGCAGATCGATCGATCCAAATATATGAAGGCATTTTCGAACAAATTAGCCAAATGTCTTCGAAAACATTTTGCGTTCATGTCTCGAAGACTAACATAGATGCGTTGTCTTGCATAGAAAACGCAGTCGATTGAAAATTGTGCGTTCGTAGCGCAACAACTCATTTCATTTTTTTACAATTAACTTTTGTTTTCCTTTGAATAGGTGGAAAGAAATTTATATGTGTAATTTATTATATATATAATTATTTTTTACATTATATTTAAATAATTATAAATTTTATTATTATAAAAATAAATGAGAATTAAGTTAAAAAATTTTTATTTACTTCACTTTAAAATTGGCACTGATAATAACAAAGGCATAGCGTCATAACATAGCGTCATATGATGCAATATTGCGAAGGATGGCGGTATTAATATAAAAAGATTTTTTTTATGCATTTTGTTATTGTTTTATATTTGAACTAAAACAAAGCAAACAAATAATCATGCCGGATAATTAAGAAACGCTGTGAAGACTACAAATGAGAGAGTAAGCTATGGAGAGACTTTTTAAATTCATGTTTTGAGCAATTGTTTTGAAAATTTGCTTAAACATGCGGACGCAGTATAAGAGACTATCTCGAAGATAATATATTCCAGGACCATTTTTCCAACTGGATACTTATTAAACCTACACTTATTTGTTGCTGTATATTTCCATAATATACAACACACACGTACCAAGAAATGACTTAATACTTTTCTGGGTCGCTGATGTGAAAAAATAGTGGATGATATAGAGGGAAATAACAAACAAATAAATGTTAAATTTATTTGTTTGTTATTTGTCACTTTTTTTTGGTAAAAAAAGGATAAATGAATGGCTTCTTTTAATTACTTATATATGTATGTACATATTATTACTTTTGTTCATATTTGCTCATAGCATATGTATATTTTCACGTTCTCATGAGTATGACGCTCTTAGAAAGAAAGGTAAAGTTAGTTAGCCTTGACACTCACAAGTAAACAGACGTGTTTTTATTCAGCTCGGAGTCTCGTAATATGTAGAATTTAATATTTTGGTAATGGCCATTTCATAAATTTATTATACCCATACAAATATATGTGTTTAAATACATGTTTATTTAAATTTACGGAAGTTGCACAATAATTGTTGGAATTAGAAATATTATACACAAAAGCATTTTAAATGTTTCTAAAAAAATATATATAATAAATATGAAGATAAATCATAAATGAATTTCAGCTAAAAACAAAGTAGAAGGAAAACGAAAATCAGATGAAAAAGTAATAAATTTTGGCAAAATCTTATAAAGTCAAAATCAACAGTTCGCAGTATATATGAGAGCCAACGCATTGTGCCACGGAAGCCACACATCAATTCAAATAATATAGGAACAAAAATAACAAAACGGAGACGAAAAACAAAACTAGTCAAACTGATACATCGAAGCGAGTAGATTTAGCGAGTAACTAAATCGAGAAACAAATGTTACCCAATGTTGAACACTAAAACCAACCAAAGCAACGAACACGAATGGGCACAACGAGGGAAAAATTTGAAATAGCAATGCACAAAGAAAGACGGACGAATAGACAGGTTACACCGCGAAGTATGCAAACAAAGAAGCAAGTGATAGGGCAACTCACACGCTCACTGCACAACTGCGAATCATCACGATAAGTAAAGCCAAGACCATTTAAACGAGCTTGGCAAGAAGGCGCACTTTTTGTTGCCATTGATCAAGAACACCGGACACTCATACCTTTACTTATGCATTTTTACAGCAAATTTGACCCCCCTGCAAGAATCATCTAAACCCAAAAGCAAGCATTCACATATACGAACAACCTCATAATAGACAATGCAGTATCAATTAATATGCATTGCCAGAATTTTAAAATTATATAAAATCGCAATCAAAATAAAATATTTTAAAAAGAGAAAAACCAATTACTATAATAAATGAATAAATAAAATAAAGCGAGATACATACTTTTACTCATACATTTATTTTAGTAAATTCACTGCCTTTTATTTGTCTTCTTGAGCAAACCTTTGGAATACATACATATATGTGCGTACATACATAAGAGTACATAACTTATTAGATATTTCAGTTGTGGGATAGTAACCAACCAACATGTGTAACTTTTATAAGAATCAACAAAAGGCAGAGAAGCTCATTTAATGCTTTAACCTTGCGGTTTACTTGTACATTCAAATTTTTTGCCTTTATATTTTGACTCATCTACCTTACTCAAATTCAGGTAACGATTTTACAGATATTCACTCACATGAAGTCTGCTGCTGAGAAATGCTTTGTGAAGAAGTCTGTCGTTTTTATCTACCGTAGAAAAAGATGGATTTGATAAAATTATTAATATTTATGCCATTAATGTTCATATGTCTAACGAATAACTGTAAGAGCAATGAAAACTTCGTTAATAAATAAAAAAACATTAAAAACAAAAACAACAGTGTTGCGATGTTTTGTTTTTTGAATATCTATTCGTTTTTCGTATTGTAGTTTATGGTTTTGTTTCTGTTTTTGTTTTTGGACATTTAATTTGAAAAGTGAGCAACAAATGTTTTGGTGTATTATATGAACAATTGGATTTGCCCTCTGTTAAAAAATTCGTTTTTGTTTTTGTAGGTTTCACATAGCTGAACGACGAAAGTCCAAGTCGACCATGAGCATTTTTTTATTCTCTTTACATATGTACATATATTTTATATCTTATGTTTTTAAAAATTAAAGACAATTGTAAGTCTACACAGCAGCTGAGAAGCTGAATAATTTTTACATACATTTGTGTGTAATATTTAACACTTAAAATGAGTGGATATGCAATCAATGCATACGCATTTGTGTATGTATATTGAGTGCTTTCCATAATTAATAAATAACGCGTGATATGAATGAATGAAAAAGGCAGGATAACCACTTAATTGCAGGCAAGCAATTCGCTACTCTGCCCTCACGCACACATTGATAAACTCGAAGAACAAAACACACACCCCTAGAGAGTAGAGGCAGAAGCGTTACCGTTTTTGCTATTATAATTTTTTCTTGCTTAATTACTGTTTCGCAATCCCGACTGGTGTAAAGCTGGGATTTATTTTTTTAATTTTCTCCTTATGTTATGTTTCACCACAATTTCTTTCTTTGCACAATAACTACCTCATAATAAGCTTCACTAGTTTTTATTTTTACTACGTTATTAAACTTTATTTGAAGAGGATTGCATGTTTTTTTCAATTATTCATTCTATCATTGTTTAATCGTATTCGTTTCAGCTTTTATTACATTGGAATTGCTGTTGAATGTACCTGTAAAAGTAAAGCTAAAACTTTTAGTGAACATTTATAGAGATTTTAGTTTGAGTGAGTATGTGCATAAATGCATACAGCATTACCCAGTTGGAAAAGTGGTCTTCGAAGACGTTGTCTTCAAGATGGTTTTTCATACTGCGTCCGCATGTTTAAGAAAATTTTCAAAACAATTGCTTAAAGCATGAATGTAAAAAGTCTCTCTATTGCTTACTCTCTCATTTGTAGCGTTCTCAGCAACCTATGTCGCTATGCCTTTATGATTATCAGTGCCAATTTTGAGTGAAGTGAATAGTCATTTTGTGAGGTAAAATTTTCTATTCCATTTACATTTTTTAATTCAATTTAATTCAAATTTATTTTTATAATCGATTTATAATTTTTTAAATATAATGTATAAAATATGTATATACAATAAAAACAAAAAAATAATGACATACAAATTTTTATCTATCTATTTAAAGAGGAGCATTGTTTACAATTTAAAGAGCACAAAAAAGGAGAAAAAAACAAGAAAAGGGTAAAAAAATTAAATGAGTACCTGCGCTAAGAGCGCACAACTTTTAATCGAATGCGTCCATGAATGCAAGACATGGATACGTTCAATCTTCGAGACATGTACGCAAAATGTCTTTGAAGATATTTGGCTAATTTGCTTGAAAATGTCTATGAAGACGGCATACATTTGGATCGATCGGTCTTCAGGCATGTATTCATATATTGAAGATGTTTTCGATAACGGATCGATCTGTTTCCTACTGGATAATTACTACACGTCACATACGTATGCAATATTACATTCGCAAGTACGTACATATTAACGTTTTTATGTATGGACAATATACGATGTTAGATTGCAGCAATAGCAACTAAAGATTTCTTTTTAGTCTTATTAACTAATATACGTCGCGTTTTGTTTGAAAGCATTTATACGTTTTTACATTGATGTCATCTTACATCATACAACACAAATCACCGAAATCTATCTTTTACTTTTTTCCTTTCATAGCTTTATTATACTTTAAGAATTCATCATCGAAGGCAGTAAATAACAACAACATTACAATAGTCAATACCAACACCAACAAATGTTTGCCTGTGTTAATGCATTGTGTGTGTGAAGATGTGTATTAAGCACGTATGTTTTTGTTTCCTTGAATTTCATCGTTTTTTAGTTGTTTTCGACACAAGAATACGAAAAACAACAAAGTAAATATTTTCTGTCAAACACAAAATTAACCACAATTATAACAGAAATTATATTATCTGTTCATATTAAAAAATTTTAATTTACTTCTTATTTTAATGAAGTCATATATATATATATATATATATATACAAGTATAATACTCAGTATAATACTCAAGTATACAAGTATAATACTCAGTAAAAGAGAATGGGTTTTCTGGGGTTTTCGGGAATGCTTCATTTCCCATTGGTTTTTTGTTTTTCTTTATTTCATGCGTAAATGAAATTATGAATACTTTATTTAACACCTACTTTATTAATATGAATATTAATAGATTTAATAATATTCCCCCATTTTTTTTTCTTAATTAATAAACATTACATAAATAATTTAAAATTTAAAGAATTAAAAAACAGGCATTATCGTATATGAACTGTAAAATTATTTGCGTAGTTTAAAAGCACAAAACTAAACATAAAGACGTTCCTGTGTGTGGGTGTGTGAGTGTGTGAGTCTACAACGAAAGAGAGAAAGAAGGAGAGTGAAGCTCTTTTGGCTCTTGTCATTTGTGATCTTATTATGGATAATTTTACATTGCTACTTTCTTTGAATATTCATTTGATTAAAGGGGGAGAGGAGTGCATATATATTTCAAACATACATGAAGGGCAAATATGGAGGCAATTGCCATTAGTTTATTCAACAATATTCAACTTACTTTGGTAGATTGGCCAAGTAACGTGATTGCTTCTCGCGGCGTAGCTCATCGGTGAGACGACAATAAGTGTTGTTAATACAAACGCTGCGACGTAAATTCGTTTCAGAGTCCTTGATGCGTTCCAATTTATGTGCGCAAAGTTGTAAAATCCGTTTGCGTTCTTCACGCTGACGCAGCTTTGGAGATATCATTGGCACACGCGAACGATGGTGGTGGTACCCGATAGGCGGTGACGAGCGCGGTGGTCCGAACATATCAGAATCGTCGTCGCAACCATTTAAAGTGGTTGTTGTTGGCAAGGTCATTGTTTGGCTTGAACTATTTTTGCAATGCTGCAGTAACGCAGCCTGAGGGCATTGATCGCGTTACACACGATCTCGATTATGAGCCTTTGGATAGTATTCTACGTCTTTAGATTTCCTTATTAGTTATTGTTAATACACAAAACCGTTTTATTTATTTCCGCACTTTTTTTATATTTTTTATAATATAGTTGTTTTTCTTTTGTAAAACTACTTTTTTGCTTAAACTTTCACAGTTGTCAATTGCAATGAGGCAACCAAATCAATCTATTGAAACCCAATTTAACTTTTTATTTTTTTTGTCAATAATCATGCATTCGAGGAAGGTCGTTTCATGGAAGAAAAAAATCAGTGGCTTTCTGCTAAATCAGTTATTCAAACAGAATATAAATTTTTTGGTATTTTCTAATTAAATTCAAAATAATCCAGTACTTTCGAACTTTTATCAGTTAAATAAGAATTTGAAATATTAATTATAACAAGCATTTACAGTTTTTTATTTCCACTGATAATGCTTAAACTTGTTTTTAATTTTTGCACTTCACCTCGCACAATTCGCAATATATTGATTAACAACTTATTTCTTGGTGTTAGTTACAAACTAATTTTTGAGCACTGCGCATTCCGTATCAGAAATTTACCTCCACACAATTCTCACGACCGCAATCAAATGAACACAGCACCAACTCCGGAACGTTATTCGCCTCGGTTGACTGCGACCGACTAAATAATTTGACAAGAAATATGCACAATGAAGTAAGGAAAAGAAATGAGAAACGGAAGCATTCCGCCCGTTCTCAGGGAGTATAGTTAGCAAAGAGTATTGAACAATTAAATGAGAAATATTACTTTTAAGAGCCTTAAGAGCGGTTATATACCTAATAATAAATAAACATTATCAAATACTAATGCAGATACACATTTCCA